AAATGAATTAAACACGAGTATTTTTTTAAAGGATAATTGATCCTGTATTTTTTTGTAAATTGCGTTTCTAACGAATCAAATGAATCGTTCTTACACGACAGTTTTCTTTTTAATATAAAATAATATATATAATTTATATAGATAAAAGCTCCTATCAAGATCCAATAAAATAATGTCTCCGACGAACAAATCACGTGCTCGAGTTTCGAAAATGTTCGTTCGAAGTGTAATATATATCTCCGCAAAACTTTGAACGAAAGTTCACTCCGTGGGTTTTTTTTTATCCCTTTTTATTTTTACGTTCAATTTGTAGATTATATCGATTCATTAAGATTAATGTCCACACGCACGCGCGCACGTACACGTACACGTGCAAAATCAATCACATAGTAATGCTTTTATTTTATTTTTATTTTTGCAAATAATATATAAGAAGAAAAACTGTATGTATAGCTGATGGTGTGTATATACTTGTATATGCGTACCACGAGATATGGGCGACGGATCTGCCGTTTCCGAGACCGGCGATAATTGGACACGTTTTTCTCTCTGGCATTCGCGCAATCTCTTTTTCATTCTGCCAATATTACTGCCGTAGACTGACTTACACCACACGCACGCACACACGCACACATGCTTTACACTATGAGGGTACAAACGTTCTACCGAACTAACCTCATTAGTGGCGTTGTGGTCGGGGATGATGGAGCGTCGGGGATACGCGGAAATGTATAGTGCTAGGAAGTTTGTAAGACTTGCTCCGCGGGGGACACCGTCGTCGTCGTCGTGGTCTTCTTTATAATTCAATTTGCACACACACACGCCGACATGTGTATGACATCAAACGGTGAACGGTGATCGAAAAATGAAAAGATCACACTTTTTAAGGGAGGGGAATAATTTGATCTCGAAACGATTCTCACTAAAATGATTCTGCCGTTGGCACTATTTCATAATAACGGCACACTGTAAGTTCCGAGTCTCGAGTACCTATACATTTATTTAATATATAAATATATAATTTTCTTTCAACGGCGCTTCAGTTGATATAAGTCCTCAAATCTCGTGCATATAATAATATAAGTGTATTAATAATTGTTGTTTAACTCTTTTATGCCTTTCGATTTATTTCCATGTATAATATACCAAGACACTCGTATATAATTTGTTTGCTCATCAAGTAGATGAACTTGAAAACTGCCTACAGTCGTTATTGCAGTTTATTAAAAATAAATGAATATTATAAAAACAAAAAAAAAAAAACAACACAATTTACAATCGAGAGACCTTATCTGGTTAATTAACTCAAACAAGCGTTCTTTAAATTTCGTTAAAAATATAATGATAGCGCAATGCGTGGGCCTCATGAATTAATCATAATTAAAAATATAATATATCATATCCTAAAACTGCCAATTTATTTGGTAATGCATATATTTTTAAGAAGTGTTAATGATTCATTTTTTTAATGTTGTTTTTTTTTAAATTATTAATGCGTATATTTCGTTCAAAATGCATGTTATAAAAATATTATGTACTATATTTTAGTGAAGTTGAACAAAAACTAATAATCAACAATTTGGTTAATTACAATTTTTTTTTTTACAACTTTACAATGATCATCTTCAAAATTATTTTGAAATAAAACCAGCTGTGCAGTAAATTGCTTACGGCTGACTGTTTAAAACAATGGTAATTTGTAAAAACCTGAAATTACTTATATAGGTATTATAATTACTAATCACTGTTTGGAAATAACCAACACTTTTGATTATTGTTTCCATAACTATAAGAACAATGGTAACCTAATTTTAAAGCATAATTTATAAAAATATATTATCTAAATTCTAAAAATAACATGATACTTGGATATTTAAATATTCCTACTTATGATAATTTCAATTAGCGTGTTCATAAAATAAATTGCATCAAAAATAATTTGTAGTATCGTACTAGGTAGCAAAATAAAATCGTTTTGAAATATAAATATGTTCTACAAATTCGTCCCACTCTTTTAAACTCTACCTTTTTACTTTATAAAATAATGCAATACTCATATTATTTTTATTAATAATTTAATTAATTGCATCATATCAGAAACAATATTTCATTCGTTTGTAATGCAATTTATTATACTTATTGTATTTCTTTAGAAACTATTAAATTGTTTTTTTTTATCAGTTCTGGATTATTTGCCTTTTAAAGTTAATACCATAATAATAATATAAGCATTTTATGTAAGTATAATGTCCATGAACCTATTTAGTGTACGTATGCTGGTATCACGTACAGGCAATCAAAATTTAGTTAGTTATTGTATAAAAGCCATTGTTTTTACTAATGACGGTAACGAACAATAACTGATTCAATGTCTAAATGTCAAGATAAATATAAAAATTAAATTCTCGAAGAAAAATAGAAACCTTACTCAATAATATTACGTAGGTATTAAAATGTATAGTATTGTTTAATGTTTTTAATATAGAGTAAGGTACTATATTAAAATACAATTATTCGCATGCAACTGTATTTTTAGTAAAATTAAATCTGTTAGGTAGGTTTATACGGTACAAGCAAATATTATATGGAAACGACTAACGACACACTTATTATCAACCTAGGCTCTAGAAAATTTACAATTTTCACATATTACGACGTCGTTGTATTTTACATAACGTGTATATTAAGCACTCATAATATAAAATATCAATACTACATTCCCATTATTCTTTATATCTTATAATATATGTCTATATTTTACAATCGCTAGTTAATCGTATGTTGAGAATTGTACAACTTTCTTAATTTATATTCATGTTGTGACGTATAAATTATAAAACGAATAAGAGTTAATAGTTTACGAAATAAATTCATTTAATATTTTCTAAGCAAAAGGTAATGTAGGTAGAAAATCAATTTTGTAAAAGCATGGATATTTGTTGACAACAGAGTCGTGTTGATTTAGAACTTGGCATTTTTTTAATAAATATGTATATTATAGTAATGCTTAATTAATGAGTAAAAAACTTGGAACATATCGTGTTATTTAAATTAAAGCCCAAGGCTTTTTGGCTTAATGAAAAAGTATGTCGAAAGTTAACATTGAATACATATTTTTATTTTTATTATTAAATACCGTGATTTATAAAATTAAATATTTAATCTTATTTTTTATTTATAAATTCCTATGTTATTTTATGTTGTTTTTTTTTTTAAAAAACTTTTTCTTTTACCATCGCTTATTATTTAAATCAGAATAAAAATAAATCTAAATGTGTATTTAAATTTAATTATATTTTGGTTTTTGATTATATTTTTCTTTCACAACAAGTAGGTAGGAAGTTACATTTATTATTCGCGTATTATCGTTGTTTAATGATGAAAATGCTGAATGCAAATATTGATTTGCATCAATATACAAAACTACATATAAAACCACTTACTAAAATATAATTTATTACATTCTTTGATTTATACTGTTCATTTAACCAACATTTTTTTTATTTTTTAGACTATAATAATAATGATAGTATTTTTATTATCAGGTTATTGTTGAATCTATAATTTTTTTAACATTTGCAAAATGTTAATTGTTACATCTTTAAAGTGATTTATTTGTGTATTTCTTTATTTATTGGTGTGTTTAATGTTTGTATATTATACACTACGGTTTGGTACTGAAACATATTTAATTTATTTTTAAAATACTTGCATGGGTTAATGTCTGTGTGAAAATACAAACATTTTGTTGTCTCAAAATCAAAGATATAATTACAGAAACATACTCTGGTTGTTCGTACTTGTTTTTAACTTTCCATATACAATCCGTAATCCGTATCCTTGCAAACTTTTTGTTGCAACGTATCGTCTGCTTTTTCGTATAAATCTGATTTATGTGACGAGGGTAGAAGAACTCTGAATATTCGATTCGTTAAAACCAAGTGCTTAAATAAGTATTATCAAAAAAAAAAATTATAAAATGAAAAAATAATGTTGAGTTCACCAGTCGAATTTCGGTTATGAATTCGATATGAATTTTATTAGGAACTGCGACGTAAGCCAGCTGTGAAGTCACACAATTGTTAACTATTTTATATTTTTATCTGAGTTCCAATATTAATATCATTGTATTGGAAACCCTAGCTCGAAGAACGTGACCTCGAGCTCGTCTAAGAACTCTGCTATGACAGTAGTTTTTGGCACAGCGGTCTCTTTGTGCCAGTACATATAAGTTAGATGTATAGCTTTGACGGTACTACTGCCCTACGAACACAAATCGTTGCAATTTGCAAGTTCAAACGAGTTATAGCGTGACGTTCGCTTTATGGCCGTTGTGTTAAATATTGAATAATACTTTTAAGCGAGATGTAACGATATTAAAAGAATGAGGCTTCGGGGAGGGAAAATACATCGAAAACGCATTATTTGCCCACTTGCTTTTCGCGTATACCTAACCCATGTAGAGAAATGGACGTCCTCGAGATATGGAAATACGGGTTCGGGACGGACACCTAAAAAAATATTTCGCCGATTAGTCGGGTGTGCTGCATCGATTTCCGGTCTTGAATATATGCGTTCGGTGTATGAAAAGTAAATAATCCACCCAGGTTTGAAGGTCACAGCGGAGCTGTGAAAGTCATCTGAAAGTAATTGAGTGCAGACTCAATTTCCCGATATCTTATACATATTAAAAAAAGTGTTTGCACAGACTTTTTATAGGTAAAAAAAAAATCATAAACGTTTTTCAAAACCAATTTACTCGTTTACTTTATCAAATGTCATTGGTTTGAAGAGAAAAAATTCTAAGGGATTTCAAGCCGCCTTCTGCAGCATATTTATTTACATAATTTTCACTTCCTTTATTATTTTTTTAGGAGCGACTTGTTACGATTTTGGAGAGTTTAATAATTATTTCCCTAGCTTTTATAGTCGTTAATAATCGAATATACATACGAAACTAATACATGCGAATTAAAATTATTTGAATTAACTTGTTTCAGGTGAATAAAAGCAAAAGAAGTGCCTACTATACCTACTAAAACGGTAAAAAAAAAAATATGGCATCTTCGTCATCGTCGCGGCTGATAGCACAAACGTCAGAGGAAAAAGTGGCCAAATTCGAGAGGTTCATCAACGACGTGCTCAAGGAGAGCCTAAGGCAGATCTCGGCGGAACTGGATAGGGTCAATGAGCAGATTTCGGAACTGGAAGACGTGCGGAACACCGTGGAGACGATGACCATGCTGGCCAGTGAACTTCCAGCCGGCAAGCAATTGAAGACCCGTGTCAAGGTGGGATGCGACTTCTTCATGCAGGCCAAACCGGATCTCCGGACGTTCTTGGTATGCGTGGGGCTGGACTATTATGTTGAGTACACCAAGGACGAGACACTGGCTCATGTCCAGTTCCGGTCCAAATTGCTCAGGCAGCGGGCGGACGAGCTTCGTGACCAGGGGGCCCAGGTCAGGGCTCAAATCACCCTGGCCCTGCACTGCATACAGGCGGAATTGCAGGGCTTATAGTGACGATCGGGCTACTATCGTTAAAGACTGCACTTGCATTGCACATGCACATGCATCCTCGGCGAATCCACAAACAAACGACCGCGGCAGGTTGAGCATGCATATACGTTAAAGAAGCCATACTATAATTGTCGCTTCGCTATATTTTTCAACTATCATTCTAATAAAATATTTTACACAAATATTGAAGAAAACTTTTTTTTTTAATATAATATATATTTTTGAATTGTGTTTTTTTTTTTAAAGTTTTTTTATACTCGCCAGATATCCGTTTTTACCATGTAACAGGTGCAAAACAATCAAAAAATTGAATTCACGTGTCAGTGTGTCACTTTCCGAGTTCTATAAGGCCGGTGGTCATTCACGTTTATTATTTTTTTAACAGTTAATTTTCTGAAGTATTGATATTTATAAAAAAAATAATATAATATTTGCTTTAAACAATTTACTAAAACCCACAGGTTCTTATAAAATAATTTATAGCAAAAAAATATGTAAAAATAAAATCATGTGAAAACATAGTTAGGTACTTAAGATTCAACTTATAGTTACACGATGATTGCAGCGGGCACCATGTATATTGTACATGTAGAAACGACAAATGTAAAAAAAAACAATTTGAATCATCCACGATTGCAGTATATAGGTACCAATGATATAATATATTACGTATATTATCCACTATCCTTAAATGCAGTACTAAAAGTGTGATGCATCTATTGTATAATATTATTTGGGATAGGTCCGCATGATTTGTGACAAATTGTACAAACGCATATTGACAGGACAACAAGAATTATAATTACATTTTCTGAAGGGCGTTTCTGAAAGAAAAAAAATGAATTTAAAATGTAAAAAGTAAAACACGCTCTGTAATTATTTTTATATTTTAAATTGAGTCTACAAACGGCCGTGAATTGTTCGCATACAAAATGTTCACTTAATTATTTTTTAACTTTTGCTGATGTGAATAACATGATAAAACGGTAAAAACATATTTTCCTTCAGAGTTAACACACCACCACGTCATGTCCACGCTTATTCATATAATATAATGAATAAAATATACTGTTCATACGTATACAGATGGCTTAAAATATTTTAAAACTAATATTAAGTACGATGACTATAAATAACATTATAACAACATTTTCATCCAATATAATCATTTTATATTTTCCGTACATAACGATTTCATTCTCTGTCATGTGAGTAATACGAGTATGTCTTCGATTCCACTTTTTGTCTAGAAACTATATATTATGCTCATTTAAACTTTAACGGATCATTAGACAGAAATATAATACCGTAGAGAAGATGCGTTTCGAAAAATAATTTATCTGAAAACTCTCGTTAGTCGTTCTTGTCTATTATCTGTTTTAGACGAACTATTAATTATTTATTACGTCTATAACGCTCTCCATAAACTTCAACAAATTAAGATGTTATTATGCACGCAGACACACAGCACTCATATATTTATAAATTATTCTTATTGAAACGGTTTACGAGAATAGAGATACAATTAGAATGTTTATCGGAAATTTCTAAGTAATAAATTTAAATAATTTCAAGAACATCGAAAAATAATATATTATAATATGTGGGACAAATGCAATTTTAATGGGATATCGCGATAACAACACACAAGTAGAGAGTAATAAAAATAACCTTCCGGACGTTAAATTGAAATTCTTTTGGAGAACATCATATATTATTACATGTATATAATATTATGTTTATGTTGTGTAATGCGGAGAAAAAAAATCGATGCACGAGGAGGAGGAGACCCTTGTTTAACCAGAAGTCGAGGAGCGATTCATCTTGGCCAACAGTGCAGCAAATGAAAAAAAAAAAATAATAATAATAATAATAAAGTAAATAATAGCAACAAAAGAAACAAACCGTGAGTATTTCGTATTGGTTTTTTAACCTTTAAACCGACGACGACGAGATGGGTGTGTGGTACCTACCAGCTATTGGTGTATATGAAAAAAGCAAATAAATGTTTTGCTAGCGATTTCCGATAAGAAAACCGGTAATGGACCACGCTAACGATCTTTAACACACTCTTTATATTGTCGTAGTAGGTATATATATATATATATAGATAGATAGGACCTACACGTACTGCATTTACATTTACATTTTGTAGAAAGTGACCACGAGGGGTGCCGGACTTGTGGGCTCAGCGAATTGTGTGCCACCGGGTGCACCGAAAATGTGGGTAAGTACTCGGCGGCGGTGGATGTGACGACGATGGGAAACTTTGTCGGGTCGCCCAAAAGAATCCCGTTTGCCGTATAATGTGCATAATAATAACAGTATGCACCGATGATGGCGGAGGTACACACACGCACCTCTGGGACGGATTTAGGGTCCGGCGTGTGCAGAGGAGACGCTCTTAAAATTTCGATTTGACAGTTGAATAGGGTCGCCGCCCCGCAAAGACGCGCCCGGTCACTTTAATCAGGTTTTACCGGAATATAATAATAAATTATACAGAGTGTGCACTGTGCACGTGTGTGTCGTGTTGGATAGTTGTCGTGGGTATGTAGGTATCTATATAGGAGGAACCTCGCAAAATAAATCGCATCCAGAGATGGGAGGAGATCTACAGTTGTAGTAGGCACCTTTATACAGTATACGCGTACATATATGTATGTGAAAAAAAAACCAAAGTAAGATACATGAATAGACTTTATTCAGAGATTAATAACAATAATAATGATGACGAAAAAAAAAATGAAAAGATTTATTAAATGCGTTTTCCTCGTACACAGGTTAGGTTAGGTACGTGTAATATATAAACGTGCGTATTGTGTTTGTGTATATAGGTGGTAGGCTCGCCCGTTGGCCGGCTCCGTCGCAAATTGGTGAGTGTGTATGCGTGTGTGTGTGTGTAGGTTTCTTCCGATTCGCCGCCGCTGGTTCGAACGTCCCCACGGGGATCAGATACGCGATGATAATATGTTATATTTTATTCAATAGAACGAAAAATAGTGGAAAAACCTACGCAATATATTAACTAGATAGACGAAACAATGGGTTGTTTGAGGAGAAGAAGAATCGATAAATAAGATACACTGCAGGCGAGGGGTCGGCCACGAAACGAGGCGAAACGACTGCGCCCGGACGTCTAACAGGACGGCGTTCTATATAATGTATGTATGCTAATGTATAATGATAATAACGATGATAACATGATATACATTAAATATATATATATATATATATATGTATGTGTCCGACGACGGCTGCCGGGAATCGTACAAAAAGACTTATCTTTTTCGGACGTTACACATAACGTGGCGATAACACGCGTTGTTGCGTGGAGTGTCATACATATATTATGTAATATTCTAACGAGGCTGAGTCGTAAGAACTAGCACAACCGATTTACAAAATATATATGATATACTTTTATCCGTCCGGCCACGTCTCAGATCGACATGTCTATCGCGGTCGAAAGATCTCCTTTCTTGCTGCACTCCTCCCGTTGAAAGGTTTTATTAATAACCCTCTCGTTCTTTCTTCGTCAATATCATATTATTTTTATGCATATACGAGACGTGTCCTCGACAACCGCTGCGTATATGCTCGTATGATGGTATAACATTGCGGCGAAGAGATAATAATATAATGTTTATCCGTCGGAAATCGTTTGTGTGCCCGTACAGGACGCGCTATATAGTCCGACGCACATGGCACTCCGCCCGGATCTCTTATAATAATGACGGATGACGAACGGTCGCGGACAAGGCTTTTCGGTCGCAGCAGGTAGGTTAGGTATATAGTAGGTACCTACTATACACTATACTACTATTGTATCTAACTTTATTGTGCCTACCCGTGCGCACTGTATATTATTGTGTACAATATAGATAGGCGCGTTGTATATTCATAATATTATAGTATACAATGACGCTCGTTGGTGGCTTAGAACCGACGTCCGGAAAACTTTTCCATCTTACATTATGTACATGGGTACCGAGCGACAGATGTTAGCATCGTAATTTGATCTTCATAATATAATAAACACTGTTTCTGAATCAATACAATATACGCCGTGCACCCGGAATGTCGGTCATCTATACAAGAACCCATTTTAATGGCGACGTGTTATTTTTGTCAAAACGTATACATTATATGTAGGTATACTCAACTGCAAAATCTATATAGTAAATATTATATTATACGAAACCGCGCCTACAGTGTATATACACCCCGTGCGCTTTACCGTGTTGTACAGTACGATTTACGTACACTGCACCACGAAGAAAAAAATCAAACACAAATAAATGCCAATCGGTGTATGTATGCTGCATTCGAAAACTGAAAAAAAGTATCGGATTTAATAAAAACCACATACGCTAGTCTCGTCACCCGCATCTCGAAGCTTAACATTTTCGCAGGTCGTCGATTGATCTTCGGTACAATCTCATAAATATTATTATTGAATTTCCAATAGGATTATTATATAGGAACATCATTGTGTTACTCTATTGGGTACAGTATCCGTGTCTTCTCGGAGAATGACAATAATTGCAAATTGCAGGTTACCTACAGGCTACAATTAACTAGTGTTAACATAAACAATATACATATCGTGTTTGGAGGAAACGTGTATATTACGATGATCTATGTGCGTGGTGTAATTGAATTTTCTGCTTGGCGCTGACACGCTAAGGGTGGTTCAAACGGGGGAGAGAAAAAAGGTCTACCGGGGGACGTTATGCGTTTTCTCATCGGTGATGCGACTCGGTACGACTCATAACCACACCGAACGTCGTCTTTTGTCCGTCCATCATCAAACGACAGAGGTCATCAACAGTTTTCCAATTCAATTGGTTCGATGGTCGTATATACTTTTGTAATTTATGTATATACATATACAGACGTGCAGCAGTCGCCGACCGTCAAAACGTGCTGAATATAATAATATATATATTGTATGTATATGCGGTAATATATAGTTTCGAATCAGCCCGCGTGACGTTTGCGCTCTCTTCAAAAGCAAAACCGAACACTGAATAACATAATATTATAATATTATATAGACTGAAACACGCCTCTCGCGCCGATGAATGTCATTCGCATCAGATACAGTATATAAACAAAATAATAATATACATTTTGCAGCCGGTTACGATATGGCCAAAATCACGTTCGGGCGGCGCTCTC